CCCCTGGGCGCCCCCGCCCGGCCTGGCGGCCCCGCCAGCCCGCCGGTTATCGCGGCGGCGGGCCCGGTGCGGCCGCCGGTCCTGCGCGGCGAAGGCGGGGGCCCGGGGATGGTGGTTGGCGGGGCCGGGGCGGGCTGTCGGCGCGTCGGGCAGGGAGGGGAGGCGGCAGCGGGGCAGTCCCGCCGGGCTCGGTGCCTCCCGGGGGGACACAGGTGGCCCGAGGGGTGCGAGGGGGTAGGGAGGAGCGGGAGCGGGGCCGGGGGAAGAGCGGTGGAGGCGGGGGGAGCTGGGGCGGTGCGTCCCGGCCTCGGTGGGCGTGAGCCGCCCCACGGTCCCCGTGGTGGTACCGGGAGTTACCCCCGGTTGCCCCATCACAGCACAGCAAAAGCGGGGTGGGAGCTGAAATAGCAATGTGTATTTTTATTCTTTTTTTTTTATTTAATGTACTTTGTGGTGTTTCGCTTCAGGCTTGAAGTGAGTTGTTGCCGGTTGTTGTTGCAGGCTGATGGGGGGGCGGTGGGAGGCTTCAGCCCGGGAAACTGACCAGCAAGTGAATGTGAGACAGAACGGGACTGTATGGAGAAGGTAGCACAAGACTGTGAGGAGAAAAGTGAACAGGCATGTGCACTCGAATTGCTTATTGATAATAGTGTTGAATTAGGGATATATTGCACTGGAACAGGTTGCCCAGAGACTGTGGATGCCCCATCCCTGGAGGTGTCCAAGGCCAGGCTGGATGGGGCCTTGAGCAACCTGGTCTGGTTGGAGGTGTCCCTGCCCGTGGCCAGGGGGGTTGGAACTAGATCATCCTTAAGGTCCCTTCCAACCCAAACCATTCTATGATTCTCTCTCTATATATATTTAAACTTTTTTTTTGGTATGAGGAGGAACAGTTTCACCAGAGCTGGAGGGGCAGTTGTGCAAAATGAAGTGGTGTGATGCTGGTGCCTTTAGGCTTTGTATAGAATGTGTCATTTCTAAAAAGGGGCTGCCTGATGATGGTTTCCCCATATTGAGAAGCAGTTTCTGTTATGCGTGAAGACAACCTCCAGAAGGCCGGGTGGTCACCTGGAGTGTGTAATAGATGCCCAAGGAACTTTTGTCTCCATTACACTGCGATGCCAAACTATGCAGAGTTCAGGACCTAGAAGGAACAGGCAATCACTGGAGTAATCTGAAATTCTTGGATTTTGCACATTTTGATCCTCATGACAGCAGCACAAGCAAGATCTTAAATGGATAGAACTGTCACAATGTTCCGCTATTTTTCAAACTATAAATGTATAGGTTGCAAATGTGTAAAATGGCTATGGTTTTAGTGCCAGAACACGCTATAGGAATAAACACAGGAAATGAGGCCTTAGTTTAAAGCATGCTGAAAGAGCGTATTAATTTTTAATTAATATTAGCTTCTAGTTTCAACAAGTTGAATGTAGATGTTGGTATAATCTAGGTAATTAACAGTAAGAGATGCTAACCTGTGGTAAAAATACTCTTGTTTTAGCCTGTAATGTAAGGATCTAGTATTCCCTCTGTGCATTAATGTACAAAGATAATGAAGAGATTTCCCATTTACTATCTTTTATCTAAAACGCATATATTAAATTGCATTAATCTTCCCTCAGAGGTGATACAGTCCATTGTTTTTGTCATTTATACATTCTTTGTAATTTGTCAATGTTGCTGTTTCTTTTATAGTCGAATGAAGGAAAACTCTGCACAGTACTCCCAAATGTGAGATGAGCAAAGCTGGTGTAAAGAGGAAGTAGTGCCTCTCTGGCTTTAAAAATCAAACCCGATGTGTACATGACTTGTATATACAACAGTTGCTTCTCTTGAAATAGACAAGAGTTCGTACTAACACACACATTGCCAGGGATGGCTCAGGGACGAAATATGCCATCTTTTTTTTTTTTTCCCCTAAGTCTGATATCTTTTACTCGTTATGTTTTTACACACATCCTTCACTTTGCAGCCTCTCGAAACCATCAGTATTTTTCTGTATATTTCCCACCTTTTTTTCAGCAGTCTCGTTGGTGAATAACTACGTAATTATGTCCTGTTTCTGCTCTCACGGGATGAAATTGTGAATAGGGGGGAGCTGCATTTGCAAAAACAACCAGAATGAATAGGTACAGTAATCATTAACAGGATGATTGCTTGGAAGCTGGAAAATAGATTTGTGTACATAAGCTCCCTGTAAAAAGAGGCAAAATAGACTGAAGAGATCTACTGCTTTTGAATGCTTTAATTAGTGTGTGTTCCTATTAAACCATAAGACATTTTTGTTTATCGAGGTTTGTCGTGTTTGAAAGAAGGAAATAGTGAATTACAGTCTTAGAAGGCTTTCTGTATTTATAGCATGAAGAGAAGAAGGGGTTAATCATAATAGAAAGAAGGAATTTGCCCATATAATTGAAATAGTTGCCAATTAAATAATGATCTGAATAGGAGAGATTGTAAATAACATGATGGGCTCTAATGCATTTTGAAAGAAGGTAGCATCATCTCTCTTTCTTGAGAAAGTTTTATGCCAGGACTGGTCCATGTGGGTTCTCTGGAGTCCTGTCTGTCTTGTAAAACCAGAGGTGACGTTTCCGTGGCCCTTTGAGCTGGTCTGACTTGGGGCTCTTGCAGTCTTACTGTCTCCTTCACCAGCACTGACTTCACATTAACTGGCAACGAGTTGACCAGACTGAAAACTACACTTGCTTGCAGGAGAGGTTGGTGTCTGGCTGGAGAGATGGCTGTGAAGCAGAGAGGGATAGGTCCGTGCAGGGCAGAGCTCAGGCAGCCCCGAGAGAGTTTGGGGGACAGGATCCCCAGTTGGGAAGTCCAGGTTGGGCATGTAGGCATAGGACAGCACCTCACAACATCACTGTACATTCATAGAACGTTGCTTTCTGTATCTAACCAAACCATCATGCCCTCTGTGGTGGCTGCTGAAGGTCCTGGTATTCAGTCCATTAATATGGTCCATAAATGGTATCTTGACAGAAAAAAAATTATAGAAGAAACCAAATAAAAGAAGTAGAGGGCTGCTGCTTGGGAGAAAGGTAGTAAGATATGTTTAAAAGAAACCTTTATTAAGCTTCAGTTTGGCATAATTTTGCCTGTATAAAAGAAAATGAATAATATACAACAGGCTAAAGATGCTGCCAGACTGGAAAGTGTAGTTGCATAGGCCCAAATGGATCTCTTAAAAATAATCAAGCAGTTTGGGGGAAGGGGGAGTTTTTCGCATAAGCTTTGCATGCGCATGAACTGCTCTGCTCCAGAGCTGTTTATCTTGATGCTTTGGATAGGCCCGAGTCTGCATTTTTGTCTTTTTTTTTTTTTTTTTTTTTTTTTTTTTTTTTATATTAGAAGTGGGCATAAGCAGGTTGGTGTGATTGTTTAGATGTGGTATTTGAGTGGCCTCTAATGCATTTTGTCTGCATGGAGCCAGCCCTGGAATATGTCTAAAAGGCTCCCCTACTAGAGTGCAACAGGTTTTGACAGCCACAGGTGCTTGAAGGAAGAGCAAATGTGTGTTTTTGTTTTTTTTTTTTTTTTTTTTTTTTTTTTTTTTTTTTTGCAAAGTTAAATCCCTTTAATTGGAAATCAGCTTGACCTGTGGTAGTTCCTGAAAAAAATCTCTCCATTTCATCTGGCCCTACTGATCTGTATTTAATATAATTCTTTCACTAGCTTATTATCCTTCAACCTCCTGAGCAATTTTTCATTCGTCTTTTAACTACACACAATTCCTAGTGCTGCTTTTAAAATGCCAAGACTTCCTATTTCTGTTGCAGTCCTAATGCTTATTTATCCTTCTTCTAGAATAGTTTTCTGTTTCCTCTTACTTGTTATAAACTACTAAATCCGATATTGCTTTTAAGTCTTTAGAAGTAATTTTCTTCCACCTGTATTGCTTTTTTCTGAAAACTGTGTGTTCTGCCTTGTTTCTTCCTACTTAATAACTTTTGAGCTTGTTGGCTGCTGTCAGCCAAAATTGGCAAAGCAGCATCAGTCTCAAGGATATCAAATATTTACAGGTCACATGAAAATCACTGTGTTGGGAGAGGGGGAATGACCCAAATTAATGTTTCTGCTCATGAAAAACCTGCAGTACGTTTTCAGGTTATCTGCTCTGTTAGACCTCACTTAAAGTAGGCAGCCACTCAGTGTAGGGCTCTGAACCAGCCGGTGGTTGGGCTGCCCTTTGACAAGCTGAGAGAGAGCACCTGATCTTTCAGTAATCCAACTGAACAATTTTTTAAAATAGAGCTCTGTAAAGCCATAATTTCCACGGGGCAGCCTTCAAACCATGTTAATCAGTGAAATTTTTTGAGTTATAAGCTAGTGTATATGCTGGTCAGCACATGATTCCAGGGTTTGACAGCAGTGAGCTTATTGAAGTTTAATGTCTGCGCATTTTGTGAATTTATTTATTTATTTAATTATTTTTAAGGGAAAAATCCAGAAGGAGAATGTATTTGTAATCCTCACTTACGGCAGTTCCATGCTGAAAAGATAAAATAAAAATTTTCAGTTTGGAGTTAGTTTTTCAGGTGTTTTTTTTAAGAAGGACTGATGGAAGGTTGTGCTGCTTTTTTCCCCAGTGCCTTTTCTAAAACGTCGTTCAGCAGGATGTTTGGGGGAAATGTGACATTATTGGGTTTTGGCATTCCAGGAGAGCTTGAAGTGGATCCAGCCTATCGTCTTATGCATTCCCTTCTGCACCGAATGTCAGGAGTAATTCATGTTGTTGACAGCGATGTCAACATGTGAAACTGAGTGAAGGACAGGAACTAAACAAAAACCTAATAATAGAAGAGGCAAGAAAGTGAGAAGTGAACACTTCGTTAGTAAACTTTTGCGCTGTCACGAGTAAGAGGGTCAAATAGTGCAGCCTGTCCTTATCTGTTACCGCAAGCGCCTTCTTGCTGGCAACATTCAAGCCAGAGAGAGCTGTTGGTACATCTATGTGCATTTTGTAAGTATGGGAAACGAGCAGTTTACCCAAGAAACATGCACAGTGGATACAAAAGTCACCTTGATTTGTCTCCATTTGTTTAATTATTTCCACCACTTTAAGCTTATGCTGCCAAAAACTCGTATAAAACATGATCTTACTTGTAGCCGTTGCAAAAGTTAAATATATGGTTTGCCTCCCGGGCAATGTGAAGCATGATGTTAGTTGTTGTTTGATGTGTCTTCTGCAATAGAAGAGTAATTTCTGTTGGTTCAGTGATTACCACAGTATGTGGTAACGATGATAAACTAACCGGCACCTCTAGTGCAGGCTGTTGAAGAAACATTTAATCTATTTTGAGACGTGCTTAGTCATCCCTGTTTTGGCCTCTCACAGGTTATGGGTATCGCTCCTTATTTTTTCCTTGTAAATGCCGTGAACAGGCTAATCCAAAGGTCAGTTTGTGAGAAATGGTCTCTGGTGCTGGAGGATGGGAGTTGTGCAGTGCTGTGTTACTGCCCAAGTGTGTTGTGTACCGCTAGCAGAAATCAGAGAATATGTTCCACGTTTCCTTGTGTGTTGGTAAATCTAAGGGTTTACACCACGCAGGTATGGAGCGGCTGCTAAATATGGGACAAGCATATGTAAGAAGATCTTTATTAGTAGGCAATATGATACAGCCCTTCTGTGTCCCAAAGACAACATTCACCTATAAATATTTCTTCACAGTTGTAAACAGAAAACTTCAGTAAAGAGGCTTACCTTTAATTTGGCTTTTTCTAATAGTTAGATCTGCTTGTTTGTTTGTTTTACTTGTGGATGATGGAGGCAGTGTAAACCACATTCATAACTGTAATTATTAGCATGTTTTGTGTTGATTTTTTTCAGGTGGTCTTGCATGCATATCTAGTACGTTTTGCGTCTAACTGAATTGTTACATAAATGAAAATATTTTCTCTTGTCAGAAGTAAAATGCTTTCTGTGGGGACTTCTGCTTCCGATGCCAGGACTCTTCAGAAGGCTTACTTTGTTGCTTGGCTTAAAGGAAGATGATGTCGTTAATGAATTATGAGCATCCTTCAGGAGGCTGGTGACCCTTCTGTCATTGGTAAATGCTGTCATGGACAACTTTAAAGGGTAAAGACAATATTTTTGTGAGACTGTTTCAAGCTAGCACTCTGATACAGGAAGCAGTGCGTGCAGTTTTTGGTTTAGATTAACTGCCCAAAACTCTTTACGCTTTGAAAACCATTCACAAGTTACAAGAAAAAATTAGAGGAAGCAGTTTGGAGTAGCTGTCCAACTTTTTATACGAGGGTGTACTTACTTTTCAGATTATAACATAGTCTAGATATACTTGAACTAGCGTGAAGTGGACTAATTCGGGTCCTGGGAGCAGTCCTATTGCAAAATGCAAGCAGTGAAGTTATTTAGGTTTTATTGAACTGCTCTGCTGCAGCCTGACTAGATACCTGAATACTTGGTTTACACACAGTTTTAGTGTTAAGTATTTCTAAACTATACTACAGGTTATTTTAGCTGTACCTTCAGATACTCATCCACAGTTGTTTACTGCAAGGGCCAAATTTCATTTCGTACTTGATTTTATTTCCATAAGTCAGTGCAAGATTTTTTTCTCTTCGTAAATCCCTGAAAATATTTAATTTAAGCATTAGTCTTTTTGTTGCTTGAGGGTTAGTTTTGGCTAATGTTTCTTCATGGTCTTCTCTTTTTTAAACGCAGTAAATGGGAAATTACACTTAGTAGCTTCCAACTAAATAAAATGAAATAGTTTATTAATGTGTCTTAAAATAAAATGTAATAGTTTATTAATGTTTTAGTAGCAGCATTTTGTTTAAGATGATATTTGAAAGTGTTGTACAGTTTGCTTTCTAAGGATGTTTTATCCGCTCACTATGTTTATTCATTCTGTTTTATCAGCTCTTTTCCAAAACACCACAAGCAGTTAATGCGCTTTATAAAGGACTCCTGACCTTTTGCATCTTCCTAAGTCGTATCTAGATGTCACCAGTGTTTCCCATGTTAACAGTTCTGAGCATGTTTTACTATATGTGCCTTCGGCGCCGAGCTAGGACAGCGACGAGAGGAGAAATGAACAGCCGGAGGGCTATTGAATCGAACACCCGAGCCTTACCTATCAACGTGGAAATAGTTCAGTACGCCAAAGAAGTGTTGGATTTCAGCTCTCACTACGGGAGCGAGAACAGCATGTCGTACACCATGTGGAATTTGGCAGGTATTCCAAACGTGTACCCTAGTTCGGGTGACTTCACTCAGACTGCCGTCTTTCGGACGTACGGGACCTGGTGGGATCATTGTCCCAGCGCTCGGCTGCCGTTCAAGAGGACACCACCCACCTTCTGTAGCCAGGACTACGTGGAGCTCGCTTTTGAGGAACCGGTTTATCCCACCGCAGTGCACATTCTGGAAACCTATCATCCTGGAGCTGTAGTTAGGATTTTGGCGTGCTCTGCAAATCCTTACTCACAAAATCCACCAGCTGAAGTAAGGTAACTTTTTTTTTTTTTTCCCTCCTTTATGCTTTCCTGTAAGATGTTGAATACTACAAATAATGCTGTTTAACAAACTTTACTTCTTGCTATCTCTGTATTTTGTATCTGACCTGCTAACGTTTTATTTATTTCTGCATGTATTTAAAGCTGTGGTGACATGTTTTTATAGCAACTTCAGAGACGTGGATTTTTTTTTTGGTAGGAATTAATGCAGATCCTAATATCAGATTTGATTTGTGTAATGATAGTTTTTGTGTTTGAATTTTTATGAGCAATAATTATTATGAAGTGTACAAAAATCACTTGTGAAATGGCAGTTTTTCCGAGTTCTTCTTCTGCAACAGGAAGGCAAATCATGTAGAAGAGGCTGTGGATTCACAGTTGCTGTATCATCCTGCTTCAAGTAGCCATAAACTCTTCCTTCTCTCTGCATGCTTTAGGCTGTATGTATAGTACAATCAGGCACTGTAACTATTCTTGTGGAAATGAATAAAGTAAACATCCGAATTCAAGGAACAGTGATAGGTCAAAGTAATAATAATAGGCCGCCTAACTCAGGAGTGAGTTTGGCACTGTAATACAGAACTTATTTATAGGATGGTACATGGTGAAGGCAGCTTTTAAGATTTTTGAACTTTGAACCTAATGTAAAATTACTTTTGGCCAGTTACTCTGTTACTCTTTTTTATTTTATGATGTAGGTTTTGCTTCTTTATTTTATGGTGTAGCACAGATTTATGTAGAGATTACTTCTGTTAAGTGTTGCTAATATTGCATTAGAGTGGTAGTAAGATAGCGTGCTGTAGGGCAATACAAGCATATAATTTTGAGTAATAAGCTAATACTGTGTTATCAAAATGTCTGTTTAGGTTTTGGTTCATAAAACAAAACACTTTTGTTAGTTTCATGTAAAGACCAAGAAGCATTGAAGGAAAGCTCAAGAAACGTTAACTGATGGAGCTACTTAGTAAGGTGCACTAAAAAGAGAAAATTGTTCAAAGAGCTAAAAGAAGATGGAAATGAAAATAATTAATAAAAAATTTTTTCGGATGTGCTTTATGACTCCTCTTAGGGTGTGGTCAGAGTGAGAGCTCAGACTTTACCTTCTTCATTAAAAAAAAGATGAAGTTTTGGTGGAACCCTAATTTTTAATTTGTAGGCAGGAGTATCTTCTGTTCTGCCTACCTAAGTTAACAATGTTTTTGGTTAGAAGAAGAAAGTTGAGAAGGACTTTTTTTTTTTTTTTTTTTTTTTCTTTTGGCTCACCTTTCCTTAGCAGGACTTGTCTGTTCAGAGCTGTGCATTTGGTCTGTCTCCTTTCTTCTGAAAGAGACAAATACATCTTATGCACAGTGTCTTGAAGGGAAGACGAAGGAAGCCTTTCTCCACGTGAGATAAGCAGTATTTTTTTCTTTGTCTGTTGGCTCACCTTTATGAGGGGAAATGAAGAGTTGCAAGAATGTGGTCTCTCTTCTGCCTCAGTTCTTGGTCCCTTATTTTCACTTACAACAACTTGTTGAGATGTCAGCTAAGAATTACTTTTTTGAAAGTGGAATGCTGCCGATAATCTCAGATGATTCTGTGTTTCACTGATATTTTGGACTTGAAGAACTGCCATACTATTTTCTTCTGTTAAAAAAGACTGTGTTCTGGTTACTCAGAGGGCACTTAGAACCTTGTTTTCCTCTTCTGACTATTTTGACAATCAATTTTAAATGTTGTTCTGTTGCTCACTTTATGCTTCACTCATGTGGAAGAACAACTTACACAGGTGGTCAGAATAAAGCCTTTAGCCATGTTCTCGTGGTGCTGGTGTATTGAATACTGCTACCAGTTACAGCTTTGTATGACACTGTCTCAGATTAGCTCTATTCATGATCTTTTTAGAGGTAGGATCAGCTCTTCTTGGAATGGGAATAAGCATTTATTTTTCCAGAATGGAATGTAACGGTTCCTATGTCATTCTAATGCTTAAAGCACAATAGTTAATTTGAAATTTTTTCATTATTTATGCCAATTGATTTTATTGGCATAAAAATATTGTTATGCCAATTATTTATGCCAATTTATTTTTCATTATTTTAACTAGCTTCCAGTCATTTGAGGATTCTCTGTCCTGTCATGTCTTTTGCTGCTTTAAACACAGAAGACATCACTCTCCTCTGCATAAAACAATGTTTAAAAATCATAAACGTCAGAGAAACTGCCGGCTTTGCACATGGAGACCTTTTGAGCTTTTTGGCATTGCCACTCACACCTTGACTGGTGAGACACATTTGGTAGTTTCTTAAACTACGTTAGCGTCCATGTACAAATTTCTTACATGAATTATCTGAGTGCAGAAAATCCAAGCACAAATAAATAATCTGAAGTTAAGGGAATATTGTAGTATATAGTCTCAGATTTTATGTGGCAGAGAAATCCCTCCCTTTTTTGTGTTGTGCTATGATGATAATACTGGTGTTGCCTTGAGATTTGCATTGTGGTGCACATTCTGTGTACTTAGGGTTTGGTGACAGCACTGAGTCCCTCTTTGGCTGATGGAAGAGGCAGAGCTCCACACAGGCGTGATGGGGACACTGCACCTGACAGTGGCATGAGCTGAACCCAACCAAGAGAATTTTATTTGTTCCTCATGGTGTGTTAGATTGATGGACAAGATATAGCTAGCTTCTGAGATGAGGAATATGTTTTCTTTCCTGTGCTCTTTTTTTTTCCTCCTCATTTACCCAGAAGGCTTATCCTTGGTGATCCCCTAATGGCTGCTTTGGTGTCAGCCCTTCTGAAACATTCTGATACTCCTAATAGCAGCTGTCAGAGAGGAAGAGTTTGTATGTTTTCAAATGGGAGCTTTCAAGTCAGAGATAATCTTTTCAGAAGTTTTTCAACTTTCTTCTTTTACAAAAATAACTTTGCTTCTTAAATTTGGAATATAAAAGAAAAAATTGGTCCGTGTTCTTCTTCTGTCGTGGTCTTTTTTTAACTTAATTTGACAGTTTCTCTTATCTCGTGTACGTTACAGTGACACCACATATTCATATGCTTTTATAAAAGCTCAAACCCGGAGATTCCTAACTAGTCTGGGATGTGTGGCAGTGCTTGGGGTGATGTTCACAGTGTATGTCCTTACTGCTCTGCCATGATTACTTCTTTAGTAGACTGGAGATTGTTTTGTGATTCTTTTTTTTTCTTGTTTTCCACAGATAAAGTACAACACTGATTAGGTTGTTTCTCACAGGTGAGATGCCATGATCATTTGACTAGTTGGGAGCAGTTCCAGAAGTACTAGAGGCAGCATTCTGCCGTTTCTGTTCCAGCCATTTATTTCTATTTAATATAATTTCTATCATGTCATTTAGAATTTTGCTAGATGCTCTTTTGAGCAAAATTTGTAGGTGAACAGCTTGGCTTGGTATTCCCTAGCTTAGCAGTGGTTGCTGCTTGTGATGTTCCTAACTCTTTCTGAAGGTCTTGAAGCCTGTAGAGGCAGAATCTGCTGCAACCAGAGGAGTTGGCTAAGGAAGATGGACAAAGTAAAAGGCTTCCTCTCCTTCCATTAGTGAGTTCATTTTATTTAGGCATTAGGTGCTCTCTCTGGAAGTCTGATCCAAGTGGGAATGTTGCAGATTTGTTTGCTGGCAGCCAGGATTGGGATCCAAATGTTTGATGAAAAGAAAGTCCCCCCTTCTGATACGGGGAGTGAAGCCAGAAAGGCAGTGTACCGAATGCAAAATATCGAGAGCCTCTTGCTTGTAGAGAGTGGCATTCAGATGGTTCTTTCCTTCTACCTTTTCTTCCCTGTGAATCTCAGATGAGGGCACCCAAAACACTACTGATACCATCAACACATTAGAGTGTGATAAGGGACCTTCAGGGCTGTATCTCACCTACGTGTAACACACAACTTAAGTTCTAGCCGTTTGCATCCTTACTTATAACTTGTTTTGACATCTTCAGGGAAACAGCTTTTTCTTGTCCAGATGACTGTCATAGAGGGATGAATTCTGGGTTCAATGGGACACAGTCATTTTTGAGAAACCCTTAAAAAGCCCATGTGGACAGGTCAGTTATTTGAAATATCTCTTGCTGTTTTAAATGCCTTGAGCATTCTTGGAGTCCTGTCTGCTCTCTCTGGTATTTCAGAATTGAACTCTCAAAGTAGAAATGAAAATCTGTGGCATATTCCCCCATAGTAATTAGGCTGCTGTGAACTCTGCTTATCACCTTGATCTGAATGGTTCTAAAATTGTTCTCGTGATCGCTGTTCCCTGCCTTCTGTGGGCAGGGGTGTGCTTTCCAGGTTATGTTCAACCTGGGGTGTTGAAGCATCCCTGGCACATTAGCAGACAGGAGGTGTTTCCCTGTAAGTAACCTACAGATTATTTACAGAGCAATTGCTTGGATAAGAGCAATGGGGTGTATTAAAATCACATATCATGATTATAATTGTTGCAAAAGTTGTCATTTTGGCAAAGGTGTGGTCATACTATTTTCTGAGTTTCCTTATGTTCTCCATGTTGGTCTAACTGAAACTTTCTCTTCTTTTTGACTTTAAACACAACTATAAGCTTCTTGGACCAGGGCATTAATTTTTTTGTGCTTGAAGAGCACGTAGTGCTTTATTCACTTTCTACACCAATCTCAATTTTAAAATGCAAGAAATCTCGGTAGATTGCAGGCAAAGTTTAATCTTGTCTCACTGGAGAGAAATCTGATTACTTTTCCTAGGAACCACTTTTCCAAAGAATTTTTCTTATTATATATTTTCTTCAGAAGTAACCAGGTCTGAGCCATTAAAAAGGTTTCCAACAGCATTAGGTGAACAAAAAATTAAACAAGCATTAAATAGATGCTCTCATTTGACACAAACCTTGCAAGTGTGTTTCTCAGCCTAAAAATCACTAGACTGTATTTTCCTTCACAGGGAAGGAGAATGGAATTATTTTTATTATTTTTTTTTTAACATATAAGTGTATGAAGTCTTTAGTATCAGAAATTTGAGTAGAATGAGTTCCTGGCTATCTTCATGAGGTAGAGAAAAATCTAATGGAAAAACTGGAGTCCATTCAAGCTGAATGGAAAAACTTAAAGCTAAGTCCTCATTTTCTTTAATCACTGGAGAAAATAATGAATATGTTACTGCCTCTCATTCCGGCTTTGCACAGCAACATAAAGGCTGAGGCTTTCTGTCAGCTTGTTGGTGAAACCTTATCAAAGCAGTCTCACTGCAACATCTTTGATGGAATATTGCTGTGTATCTGCCAGACTTGAGGACAAATGGTGTCCTACCTTCAGTCATTTGATCCAGCTTGATTTTTTTGAGAGCTACCTAATTAACTTGAAGAGGTGAGAGGGAAGGAACATTCCTCTGACTTTTTTTACAAGTGTTTGTTGCGATTCAGTTTCTCTTTATTTTGGGTTAAATAGTTATCAAGTGTCTTAAACCTGGAACAAAAACAAATGCAGGCGACTTTATTAAGGAAGCAGATTTTGGTACGCACCCTCAAATCAGCACTGTCTGTCAAAATGGCTTTCTTCTGAAGGATTTTGAAATGGATGGCTATAACAAAAAAAACATTCTCCAGAACAGAAGAAAGCTTACTGAAGCCTCTTGGAAATTTAGATTTTTTTTGATCCAACTGTGGAGTCTTCTCCCCATTCAGATTACATGTAGCCCATTCCGGTGTCAAAGTGCTTCTCCTGGATGAAATGACCACTTCCACTTGAAGTGATGGATGTATTAAGGGTGTGCCTACACTCGGGAGGAATGTGCCAACTCTGACTCGGAGCAATTGCTGTGGCCTGTTCTTGTGTGCAGTGCCACCAAGGGAAAGAACAAAGATCAACCTGGTAGACTTGAGGTTTTCTAGTTAAACCAACAATGAACTCCTTTAAAGTTAGATTGGCGGACTGTTGATGAAAAGAAAACAGTATGACAAGGACAGTGAAAAATAGTCACCAGTCCTGTTGTTCATCAGCACTTGGAATGCCATGTGGAGTTTCACAAGACTGTAAAAAGCTGTGCTCCATGTCTTCCCTTTACTCTTCTCTAGTTTATTACAAAAACCTGGGAACTAGAGACACTGCTTGCTGAAGGAGGTTATTACTCTGCAGTTTGATGAACGTAGACCTCCAGTTGAATTATTTTTTTTCCAGAGCTCTGCTACAGCTAGATAATCTTCTCTCCAGGGCACCAAAGGAGAAGTCAATAACTGAGACACATTCTGTTAAAAGTTGATGGTCCAGTGTGTGCTAAATTAGTGAAAAAATAGGCTTGAGTTTCCTTAGGGATAGCTTGAGTGGGTACATGAAAGTGTCTAAGCAAAATGTCAGATGGTGATCTGGATGTGCTCAAGAAAGGTCATGTGCGTTGCCAACGTTATTTGCTCAGGGAATCGACCTGTGCGAGAGTGTGTGACAGTGGGACTACATCTGTTACTTTTTGCCATGAGTTGACATTCATTTCCTAAATGAATGAATTCTTCTCTTAGTTGTAAGTCTCTCTTATAAAAAAACTGTAGACCTTGGAGTTGTCCACTCTCCTACATTGGCACTTTCTGATGTGCCATATATTCACCAGTCTGGCATATTTGTTTTCAGTTCATGACTTTTTTTTTTTCCTTTGACAGAAGACTTCTGCAGGCCTCCTATTCTACTGTAAGGTATTTGTGGAGAGCAGCATGATGTAGGATAGGAAAATTTATCTGTTCATACCTGAAAATGTCCCTTGTGAAATGGAAGTTTCAGCTGATACCGATTAATTTTCCTATCCTTGAAACAGTAGCAAATATCAAGCTTCTAAGCCTTATTTATACTGTGTGTTATGTTTTAATGGAAGTCCTTGCATATATTTTACTTTTTGGCATGATGGACAAAGTTTAAGCATTTGGTTCTGGAAAATAAAGCATGTTTGATTAAGTTCTCTGGGTTACTGAATTGGCAGCAGGTTTCGCTGTCATTTACTGGAGGAGATTTGAGGTCTGTGTGTGAAAGTTAAGGATCTCTGTATAAAGTTCTGTGCATGGCCTGAACCTCCTGTCACTGGACCAAAGAGGAGAAAAACACTTCAGTTTAGCAGTTTGGAAATTCTAATTTTTTTTTGCAAAAAGACTCTTTCAAAAATGACTTGAAGATTCTATTTTCTTTGGTGATTTGTCAGTGAATTACCTTTTTAAAAGGAGTAGCTTGCTTGCCCAGACAGGTAAACAAAATAAAATTTAGATTTTTTTCTTTTTTTTTTAAATAATTTGCAATGCACCAATTTGAAGAGGTTTGCTGTTAAACAGTCTGAGCTTGCAGGATTTTTTCTTTTTTATCTTTTTTGTGGAAAATGTATGGAAAATAGGAGGGGTCAGCTCTCTGTATATTTGAGTTACCTGTCAAGACTGTTCCCTGCATACTTACGCTAACATGCTGTTGTTATGGAGAGGTCTGTAATCTATTTGTTGCAATTGCCTTAATTGTGAGATGTTAGAAAAACTTGCGTGTGAATGACAGTACTCTAACAAAGTGTGTGACTACGAGTATGTAGCTTGTTTTGTTAGTTAGCAATGCAGAGAAAATATGCTGAAGTCATAAATCAGAGTGCTCTGTTAAATTCCTCCTTAGGATATCTACCAAATCTAGGGAAAAGTAACGATTTTCCTTGTCTTTTCAACCACATTTCTCACTTGTTAAATACTTCTGACAGAGAATCGCTCTTACTGTGTTCAGGAATTGCTTTAGTAACTTTGATTTTAATCCCTGTCTGTGTGTGCAATTTTTCTTTCACAGGTGGGAAATCCTTTGGTCCGAGGCACCTACAAAGGTGAATGGTCCTCAGGCTCGGCAATTCACACCTTGTATCAAACAGATAAACTTCCCCACAAACTTAATCCGACTGGAAGTGAACAGCTCTCTTCTGGACTATTACACGGAGTTGGATGCAGTGGTACTACACGGTGTGAAAGAGAGGCCTGTGCTGTCACTGAAGACTTCCATGATTGATATGAACGATATTGATGAAGATGAGGATGAAGAAAAGTATGGCTGTGGAATGGACACCCTTAATAAGCAGTTCAGCATTGTTACCCTCAGGGAATGGCCGACTAATGGATATTTTGATAAACTGCCTTATGAGGTAAGAAAAGCGTATTTATACCTAGTGTCTTTGTCTTAATCATTAAGGGTGCAAAGGTGCTTTATAGGATATTGGTCAAGATTGCGAGGAACTCTAACTGGAAAAAAATAACATTCTTTTGTGAATCTCCTGCGGTTATGGTATAGTTATACCTGACTTATGTGAGTCTGTCTAATTCTATGGATGGATATTAAAAAGGCCCTTCGGTGGTATTTGCAGTTATTGCACTTCTATATCTGAAGAACCTACCCACTCACAGTTTTCACAGCAGTTATTCTAGCCTTGAATTTCTAACTCTTGAACTTAAAAGCTTGTGGTGGTTTTCCAGTAATTTTAGTCCTCGTGCTTGATGAAGAAGATATATAAAAGCAATAGGAAAAAGATCAAATCAAGATCTAGAAGTGAAAATAGTTTGTCATACGCTACAGGTTTCTTTCCTTGTTATGTCTCTTACAAAAACCCTGAACTTTGTTCTTGAAACTACCATAATATTTTTATATTATTATGAAGTGAGCTTCTTTCATCCAGCAAAGTTTTGGATCATGGTGCAGGTAAAAAGCTGGACTTGTGTACACTGTCTTGTTTTGATGTTTGCTGTGTTTTTTTTATTCTATCATTACTACAGAAAACAGTTGTGAAGAAAATACTACTTTCAGATCCCCTGGCAGCGGGGCAGTTGCGAGTGTGCTCAGTGTCAGCATAGATAAATATTTTCTCTCCTGCAATTTCCATTATAATAAGATTGTGAAGTATGATTGCTGAATATTGCATGCAGGCCAGGAAATTCTCAGCGGGGTGTAGCTGTCTGTGGAGGCTGTTCCGCTTAGAGTCAGAATTGTCAAACAAAATAATTGTCTTCACCTCTCCTGAAATAAAGAGGGTTTGCACGTAGTGGAAAGGAGCCTTTACTTGCTGGTCAGACCTCTGGACTTGGGCAGAGACATGATTGTTCCTGCTCTTCAGTGTCCTGCAGTCTGGCCGAAGGACCAAGTGCTTGTACTGTGGTGACACATCAGATGCTCAGAGCGCTTGTGGCTCCACTCAGACTCGCTTTTGAAAGCGAAGGAAGGATGCTGAGAGCTGCTGTCACTTTCAGAAATAGGTGATCTCATCAAATAGTATTTTGATTTTGTTACATCTTTTGGCTCTAAGTACCCCAGTTCAGCATATGAAGGCCAAGGTGACTGTGTGCCCAAGCTACCTGCAGAAGTTTCTGTGCTTGTTAAAAGGAAAGAGAGAGGAGGAGAATTTAGCAACTCTCCCCATCTTTCTTCTGTATATTTATCATCTTCTTCTTCTTCTTGAAGTCTTCTTCAGTTCCTGGTTTGGATTGGTGGTGAGGTTTTTTTGATTTTGTTTGTTTGTTTGTTTTGTTGTTGCTGCAGTGGAATAATAAATGAGGATACTGAGATAGCTCTAGTGTTGCTTTTTTTTTTTCCCCATAGTCCATGTAGTATTCGATATATATTTTACTGGTGGTGCTTGTATATCAGCAACTGAAGTAAAGAGAGTACTTCGCTTATGCAAAGGTGCAGTTGATTCCAGAATATCTTAAAACGTGTAACTGTGTCTGAAAATTTGAAAATGTGTTGATTGAGTCATTCAAATAAATTAATTCTAGAGAAAATTATTTAAGTCTAGGAAGTCTTCTTTGAAAAGGCTGGATAAATTGATTTGTAGTCTAGTAGGCTACCAGAAAGGTTGATTAATCTCTTTTCTGTTCCATGTGATTATACTCGTTAAGATTATAATTTAGGGAAGTATTTGTGTAGTCCTGTTATTCCTACGAACTTCTGCCTCCATGTACTTTATTGTGCTTTTCTGCTTTCCTGTTTGTGTACCAGCTTTTTTTAATCCATTTTTAAACATGTTTGGTTTCATGAATGCATTTATGTGGTCTATCAATACCAAGCACGCTCTTTTTTCTTCTGCTTTGATTTAAGGAAACTGAAAATAGGGGTGGAATGTTTATCAGGAAACTACAAAAGACTATTTCTGGACTGGTTTTGAGACAGCAGAAATCCCAGTCTCTTACTTTCTTGGTCCAGCTGGAAGGTTTGGGTATCAGAACAACAGAAGTGTTGTACTTTGTAGTATGACAATTTTTTATCAGATACAGGAGCAGTACTTTGCGTGCTGTCTTCAAGACTGACAAGTGTCAGATTTTCCTGGGTAGTGTTCGAACCTTGTAATGAAGAAGTAAGGCACCTGCTGACCCCCTCTGCTTTTGATTGATACGTTACATGAAAAATTGTATCTTTTATACGTTCTTGTTGATTGTGAACGTGTAACTGTCCTAAGTCTTTGTACATGTGCCTGTTCTTTATTTGAGGTGTTTCAGGCTTTTTCATACTACCCTCCATAATTCACAAAATACACAGGCTGAGTGGTCTTCTGTGCTAATCTTAAAGTAGGCAGCAGTTCCTCCAGCCTTTGTTTTGCCTTCATTGCCTTTCTGAAACATCCATAGACTATCCTTTCATAGACTGTGTTGTTCCTCGAAATGACATTAGGGATGGCTTGCTCCAGTGTGAGCTCTAAAAACATTGTAAGAGTCTAGATTGCTCCTGCCAACAAAAGAGAAGAATGCTCAAGTCCTGGGGCATGAACTTCCTTAGAAAAAAAGTGTGAAATCTTGGATGAACGAGGTGAGAGAATTTTCCTTCCCTGCTCATGGATGGTGTTAACCAGCCCTTAGCTGTGAAGTACTTGTAGTATCATCTGTTCTCCAGAATTACCTTAAAATTGAAGAAGGATTTTCTAGGAGACACTTCATGTCCTCATCTTTCTTCCCAGTTACCTCTGACTAACTTGTGCTGCTTGTAAAGTGGAAGGAGTAAGGCCTTAGTCTTAGTTGGCTTTACAGGAATGCTTGAGACCTGAGGGCCTGAACAAGTTAAAAGCCTTTAAGAAAGGTGAGGAATACCTGCCACAGCATGCCTGTTGTGCTGTTTGAGATTCACCGAGATGTGCCACGTACCAAGAACCTAACTCTTGTTCTCCAGAGAAAAGTCAGGAGAAATCCTGCACACTGCAGTCAAAAAGATTTTTTTTTTAATATAAATTTTTATATAAAAAGATATAAATGACATCTTTTTCATTGCTTGAAGCCAATTTTTCCTAAAGCTGCCTACAAGATTTATGAGCTGTTCGTGTCTACTGGGGAAGTGAATTCCACCGTTAAATGTGGATTTGGCACCTATGTTCCAGGAAAATGGGTCTTGGATGTAAGATCTGCATACCTTAAATGATACTTAGACAAGTCAGAGCCATAAGGAGGAGCATTTTCAAGTGCCATACACTTTTATTCCTCAACAGTAAACTTCTTAAATCTTTCCATAACAAATCATAGATTCACAGAATGGTTTAGGTTGGAAGGGACCTTAAAGATTATCTAGCTCCAACCCAACCCTTCTGCCATGGGCAGGGACACCTCCCACTAGACCAGGTTGCTCAAAGTCTCATCCAGCCTGGCCTTGAACACTTCAGGGATGGTGCATCCACAGCTTCTCTGGGCAACCTGTCCAGTGTCTTGCCATCCTGACAGTAAGTAATTTCTTCCTAATATCTAAATCTACCCTTTGAAGGCATCACCCCTTGTCCTGTTGCTACACTCCCTGATAAAGAGTCCCTCCCTATTGTTCCTGTAAGCCCCTTTAGGTACTGGAAGGCTGCTATGAGGTCTCCACAGAGCCTTCTTTTCTTCAAGCTGAACAACCCCAACTCTCTCAGCCTGTCTTCAGATCCTTTTCTGTTCTTTGGATCAGGAACAGAACCTTTAAACCTAAAACATTTGAGCCTTTTAATGCTGAGAGCGTCACAGCCTATAGCCTGGTGATATAAAGCCCACTCCACCAAAGTGTGTTATGTGAATAGGATGAAGAAAAGAGAGACTTAAATGGTTATGTTTTGTGAACAGTTGTGATCCGCTTTTCAGGTGTTCACCTGCACTATTAAATGTGTAGGCATTTGCTCGTGTGAGGTATAGGATTGTGAAACTAGGGACTGTATTTTCTTAAACTATGTTGAGAAACGTCAAAAGCCCTAGAACATCATCTTCTTCCAGCCTTCCCTCTTTGCCTTTTTGTGCACATATCCTTTGTCCTTCATCCGAGCACGCCTTAGTATCAGTTCTAATTGAGTCTAAGCTGTGGCAGCTCAAGCTGCAGAATGAAAGAATTTAAAGTTATTAATTTGTGTGTTTCTGGATGAGCGGTTTGTGGAGGCGAATGGATTTTCATATTGGAGGGACTCAGGCTGAAGAACCGAAAGAAGAAATTTGTAGAAGGTGCAGATGCTCTAGGTTTGACCAGTATTCAAGCATTATTTTCTGATTACGTTAAGTTCTGCATTATTGTGCTGTAACCACATAAAATATTTTATTGGGTACAGACGATTATTGCTTGCTGTTACTCACCAAAAAAACTTTAAAAGGCTGGAGAAACCTTTGGGTAGGTGAGTACTATTAGGAGCTACGCCATTGGTAAGTTTTTATCCCATCTATTGAAGAGTGCGATGGAGATTCTGTCTGAGCTTATAAACAATCTTTGCAGGGTGAGATGTCTGGGTTTTTAATATGTTATATTTTTAAATTGATAATTCAATATATAGGCATATATTTAAGACTCTGCAGTCGAGGACTGTGATCATGATAAAACACACATGGATCAGGTATGAATCAGGATCTTTTTTGGGTGCAAACAGCACACAATGAAAGGTATACTACTGTTTGTGGTGGAGAATTATGATTTGGAAAACTCCAGTTTTTGGAGTGGGTGTTGATCTCATCACATCTCTAAAGCTGGCATGTACCACGTTTGCCCTGGAAATGGGAGATAAAGTACTTTTGTACTTTTGGTCCCTTATGGCCTAAAAAGGCAATCAGTGTTGTAAAAATGATATTTTGTTTTCCTCTTCATATTCATTTATGTTGTTTTTCCAGTAAACTTTTTTTTACTGATTGATTTATAAGAAGCTCTGAAACAGCAATGCTTGCCATGTTTTTTTCATAAATGGAGAGTAAAAGCAGCTGTTTGTAGGAAACTGTTACAAAATTTGTTTTCATACTCGATTCCTGGGATCCCCATGAACACAGCATAGTGCAATACAGTGCATCAGGTCCCATACTCATTATTTGTCAAATTGTACTTTATGCGAGGATACACATACGTGAAAAACAGATTTCTGATGGACACCAGACTCCAGACTAACAGTGATTAATGATTATTAGCCTGTAGGTTTGGAACCTCTTATCTTTGTTTAATCAAAAGCTGGAAAGAAAATGCTTTCTATCTTAATGTCATAGTAGTGACATTTCTTTTTTTTTTTTTTTTTTTTTTTTAGATTTTAGGAAGTAGCATAATTTCAGTAAAAAAAAAAAGGATTATTTTTTCTGATTAAGAGATTCATGTGGTAAGAGATTCCATCTCAGGTGTGGAAAGATTGCAGCATCCTGTATGTTATGAAATATTCATTGATTTTTTTTTTTTTTTTTATTCTAGATATTATGAAGTAGCATAATTTCAGTAAAAAAATAAAGGATTATTTTTTCTGATTAAGAGATTCATGTGGTAAGAGATTCCATCTCAGGTGTGGAAAGATTGCAGCATCCTGTATGTTATGAAATATTCATTGAAGTCATCAGTTAGTGTAAAGGTACATTGGTGAGGCCTTTATAGATTCATTCACCATTATTTTACTGCTCAGAAGTCACAGTGTATGTTTGTTTTCCATTGAACAAAATTTGTGTTATTTTGTTTTTCTGAAACATTATTACACCACATTAATTATAGACATAATTTTAGCTAACTGTGCAGCTTTTGTTGCTGAGCTCTAGCAAGCTTACAAAAAAAGCATAGGAAAAATCAGAGAGAAAAGACATTCATAAAACAGATACTTAGTTGGCTTACAGAGTGGGAAATAGCTGAAAGATTGCAAAATAGCTCGAAGCCATCTTTCAGAATATAGAAAATTATTTAAAGTGAATTGATGGCCTTAGAAAAATAGGTATATGTTTAGGTATCTACTATTAGAATGATAAACAAAACTGCTAAGCAACTTCTAAGCTGAAGTCTGGATCTGATCCAAGCAAAAATCAAGATATTAACTTGGGATTATATCTATGTTAGCGCCGAGTTAATTTCCTCCCTCTCAGATACCAAAATGCCAACAAACTAAATGTCAGTTGGGAGCAAACCTTGTTGATCATAATATATTAACTTCAGTTTTTATGTGTATTATATATATATATTGCTGTCACTTTGAAATGCCTGTGCATCAAGCTGAGGTGATAGTTCCAGGCACCTGCAGAGACAAAAAGCCTGGGCTTTTTTTAGGGGGAAGGAGAAGTGAGGGGAAGGGAAGAGGGAAGGCTTGAAATCAGGCTCGAGAGAAGCTGGAGTATATGCAAACACTGTGTTTTGGCATGGCAGTTGAAGTTAGATTTTTTTTGAAGAGTCGTAGATTGTGTTTGAAATCCAAATACTAAATCTGGAGCTGAGTAGGAAGTAACATTTTTCATTTTGCAGGAAGTTGGATTGTTTTCTTATTTCTTCTCTTCCCAAAATGAAGGGGGGAGGAGGGGAGGCGGAAGGTAGCTGCATAAACTGGTACGTTGGAAGCACAATCTGTTTGGATCTCACAAAAAAGCTTCATTTTCATTTTATGTCAAGCATTTTATCCTGATTTTTGGCGGTTTTCTCTTATGAATCCTTATAAGACATTAAAATGAAACATTATGGTATTTTGGAAGAGCCACAGGAGTCTTCAGTTTAAGCTGGTTTGTGGGTTGTTTTTTGTTGGTTTATTTTTCTTTTTTAATTTACACTGACTCATTTGAATGAGTTATTGTTTCCTACTCTGCTTGAAAACATTTAGTCAATTTTAGTTACATAACTTGAGTGCAGGTACTTATAGCTGTTAAAGACGGCCGTGGTAAAGTAAACATTATTTTTCAGAATTACTTTTTCAAGTATATTTTCTCTCAGTTTCTAAGCTAAAGGAGATCCTTTTGGTTGAGCGCTTTTGTTATTTCCTGAAGTGGGTATTTATGTGTTTGTGTGTGCTGTTCTTCCTTCTGAAAGGAAAACAGAGAATGACAGGAGATGGGATATTTCTTAATTTCTGAGTGTGAGATAAGTCATTATGAAAGCATATATATAAGTGGTGCTAGTTCAGAAGGGCTGGTCATTATTCTGAAGCTGAGATGATTCAATCTGGTAAAGGTGAAAAGGGGTTTTGCCTTTCAAATTTGACTCTGGCATAAAACAAAATGCTACCAAAGTATTACAGCAAGAAAGAGACTACTTCATAAAAGACAATCTGGATATGTTGAATTTTTTACATAGTTGCATAGTCCAGCATGGATGGGAGAGGATATAAGGTAGAAGACAAAACACTGATTGTATTTTTAAAGCAGGAAGAAGATGAGTAAATCTGAAATCAGTTCAAGTTGCGGGAAAACTGGGACATGGTATGGTTTTTCCATGTACTCTGCAAGTATGCTACCATCTTAAAAACCAAATCCAGAGAAGAAAGAGGATGCCAATTCAGTGTTCTGATAAACGGCAGTGCAGACATTGTGAAGGGAAATATGTAAACATAGTGTTTACATATATATCACTGTTTTAATTAGCATGGGTAAAGAAACTTCTAATTTGAGAGCTTCCTGTCACTTTCATATGGTGAACTGCTTTTTCCTTTCTTGTTTAATATGTTGTCAAATTGAGAAGGCAGCGCAGTTCTGTTTAATAGTTAATCAATGATTTATTCGAGAAGTTACTTTTAAGTAAAAGGATTTACTTTTCTTTGAAGTTAGAACATCTCTTATTCCTTTGCAGTTTTCCCTTAACATTTCAAGTGTTGTATGACCATCTGTGACTTTTTTTTTCTGTTTTTAATATAGCTCATCCAGTTGATTTTGAGTCACCTTACAGTACCAGACCTGTGTAGACTAGCGCAAACTTGTAAGCTACTATATCAACATTGCTGTGATCCTCTACAGTACATTCATCTCAGTTTACAACCTTACTGGGCAAGGATTAATGACACATCCCTGGAATACCTACAGTCTCGCTGCACTCTCATCCAATGGCTGAATTTATCTTGGACTGGAAACAGGGGAGCCATCTCTGTTTCTGGATTTAGCAGGTCAGTGCTAAATGTACAGAAGCTTTTTGACAAGCTCCGTTTGCAGAGCTGCTGCACAGTAGTTTCACTAAGTATTTGAAACCCTATTAAAAAATAAGAAATACCTGTGACTTACTCTAAAGGATGTGGTTGTTATGATGTGGAAAAAAACCCAACAAGCTAAACCAGTAAGTGATAGTAGATGTAGCAGCAGAAGTCCATTTCAGTATGTAGAGTCTGCATGTGCCAAACTGCCTGTTACTGAAAGGCTCCTTCCAGGGGGAGAAGTGCTTTGCTTTCTCTTGTGCTTCTAAAAATCTACACTAGAACCAAGCTGTCAAAAGTCCGTCTCGAGGAGAAAATGTTGCAGTTGTTCTTTGTACAGATGAGTCATCAGTAGGGCTGTATTAGAATGGCTGCAGTAATAAACTGATTACAGTGCATGCTTACAAGGTATGGGCCCTAAGTAATCACTGGAGTGCAATGTAAATGCAAATATTTTCATAAAAATGATTTAAAACATTAGCCCTGTTGGGAAACGGGGGGTTTGCATGTGCATCTTCCACGGAGCTGAAAATATGACTGTGCTGTAGGTCATTAAAATAGCAAATTTGCAGGGATTCTTCTCTGTATAAGAGCCGTGTTCTCTGCTTTCTTAACATATCATTTCTTGCTTCTTTGCTCGTTTGCATTAGTTAAACAGCATCTATCAGTGCATTTCATTTAAGCAAAAATTGCTGCTTCAACTAAGAGGTAATCAGCAATGGCAGGTGAAGGCAGAACTTCACTGATAAGAAACAGAAATGTTTAATATATCTTAAAAAAATTGCCTTAACTCTCATTTGTTTTCTGAATAAAAAGGTTAAATCAAGTATTCAAACATTTTATTTCCTTTGGTGCCTGGGTGCCTTCCCTGGGGAAATAAAATAATTTGAAGACATACCTCGTCAAGATGAGAATGTTGCTTCCTTTTTTCCAGACCTTCCAGTATAATCCAAGAGCTCTGTGCTCTTTCGTGCTTGTTGGTAGAAAAAGGAGATAGACATCAGCTAGTTATTGAATGGGGTACAAACCCTTCTTCTAAATTTGGATTTCATATTGGATACATTATGCAGAGGATAATTATGCAAGCTTTAATTGAGAATTCAGCTCTGAAGTGCTTGCTTTCTGCTGCTGAGCTATTAAATCTGTCTTTTGAAAACTTAAACTATGTGTATCTTCATGGCAATTTTTTTCATATTATTTTTTTTTCACATTCAGTACTGCTAAGAATTTGTGTAGTCTTGAAATAAGTGAATGTCCAAATTCAGAGAATGATAAACTTTGCAATTCTGGCATTTCTGTCTTCCAGTTAGTTGAAAATGGCTTTATTGGTAATGACTTTTTTTTTCCTGCTTCAGTGCTGAACTAATAGCAGCATTTACTTGTAGTCAGCATTTCTAAAATAATAAATATTCATTGTTGACTATTAGTAATCTGTGAATAAACATGGTCAGTTTATATCCATTATTATGGCTGATATTTATTTATAATGAGGGAAAAGTATTGTTGGACGTTGATACAATTCTGAAGTTATCTCTATTTCTAGGAAAAAGTCTTTCTTGGGAGAGAGACGTGCAGTCTGGGAATAGGAGATGAAGTTCAATCAGATTTTTGAAACAGTTGTAAACGAAATCATTTTCAGGTGTGAGTTCTGCTCAGAATTTTCACTTCTGAATCAAATATTCTCCACTGTAACTAGGTCTGTTTTTCAAAGTTTTCTTTTTCCTAATAGAGAAATAATTTTGCAACTCTTTGTTCTGTAGAACTGTCTTTTGTAGTAGAACTTCCAAACACAAGTTTTCCTTTTGACATTCTTCATCAGCAGATTTGTCAAATTTGCTGGCCTCCAGGAAAGGAAAATTTGGTGCTCCTTTGCTATGGAAGTATCTATTGATACAGGAGACTTATTAGAACAACACTTGCTTTTTGAAAGCATTAATGTAACTTTCATCAAAAAAGTAGCTTCCTGATGAGAAATAATGTTCCTCAAAGGAGAAATCTGTCAAGTAATGCTTTATTTTTACTGCCCTGGCTGTCATTAAGAAACGGTCACCATGTGGCTATTGCAGCATCCAGGACACATAGTCATGAACTCCCACAGTTTTTTTCTTTTGGGCTGTTAGATGTTTCTCATGGAGCATGAGTTTTGGGAGATATTACACAAAATGGACTTGCCCAAGAATGGAGGTACTTTGAATTTTATTTCACACTTAAATTTTCTTTCTAGTTTATTCTTCAGAATATGAGTCTTGCAGAGGAGGTTCTCAGTTGGCTGGAGAGAGTGCGTCAGTTACCCCCTGATGATAAATGTTAATAAAAACTTAATCAGAATTTCAGACTGTAATTGTCCTCTGCAGAAATTAATTACTTAGGTATTTTCTCTGTCTCTATATGTAACGTAGAAGACACGTACCACTACATTTATTAGTGTAAAATCTCTTGCACGAATATTTCTGAATCTGTTTGTTGGTTTTTCTTTATCCTGTTCTCTGTGGCTCCCTCTTTGGTCTTGGTATTTTCTACTTCTTTCTGCAACAGAAATTTTTAAATAAGGCAGAAGGTGTGCCTATTAAGTACCAAGCTGCATCTTTTATTTTTTATTGATGAAAAAATCTTCTTGTAACTTGACGTTGAGTGCAAATGAGCCTAGAGTGCTTATTCCAATACTTCAAGTTTATAAATTTTGTGGTAAGTCGCTGCATGAGCGACCAGGAATGGCTGTTAAGGCAACTACGTGGAAGTGTTGAGAATTCTGCCTAGAAGATATAACAATTTGAAGGACTCCCTTATGCTATTTTTTTAAAAGGCCAGCATATATTTGTCAATTCAAAGACAAAAAACATTATTTGCTAAATAAAATTTGTAAGTAACTTCACAAACACTACAAACTGCTGCAGTGTAGGAACAGCAGAATGCTTAAAACCAAAGTACTCCATCCTCATAGATAACAGCAGTTCACTTTTACAGGGCCTGATTTTTTATTTTGTTTTCTTTATTTTTGTCCGTTTCTCAGCATTTGGTGTCACAGTTGGCACTGTTGAATTCAAAACTTAAGAGTTAGTTTCATTCTTACAACTATATAGTTCAGGTCATGATTTCTGCAAGTTAGGGCGTGTTTAAATGCTACTCCTGCTCGAATTCTATTTTGGCAAACATCTTTCAAAATTGTCTTTATCTGTGGTTTCTTACTACAATCTCAAAAGAAGTAGTTTGTGTGAATTTGTGTTGCTTTAAAAGGTTCCTATAGACATGATTGTAAGAAATAATTGAAAATATATATTTTGTTGCAAAAATGTATTAAAGTAGAATACTTTTTAAAAGAGTAATTTTAAGAAATGTGACTGAAGGCAAATACTGTATTATCATGAGAAGATAGAATGCTTCAGGCATATGAACATCCCGAGGCAAAGCTGAAGGTATTTTAACTTATTGATAACATCTACTCCTTAGGGCTAAAAATTACTATAGTAAAATTTTCATTTCAGCACGTAATGTAGATTAACTAAACTTTATCATTTAGATTGAGCTAAAAGTATACAGAAAAGTGAAAGACAAATGAAAAGAGTATCTGAGCAGTCTCAAGTGTCTGGAATGCCAAGCGACAGGGAATAAACAAGGATTTCACAGGGAGCATTGCATAAGCAGCGCTGCCTTTCTCTTGGTGTCAGAGGTACAGTGAATTTCTCCATGCCAGGGAAATAGCAGCGTAGGAGGAGAAGACCTATATAGGAAAAGTGAGGGAAGTTGACTGGAGGTATGCTAAATGTCGAGGTGCTCTGAGCTTTAAGCAGCTCAAGGACGATGACAGTTTAAAACCCGAGTTCTGCATGCAGATTCCTTTATATCCCTGATAATGCCATTAGATTGTTTAAACTCTTTTGCTTTGAATATCTGAGGTATTAGGATTTTTATTTACTTCGAACATTTCATACTGTGAAAATGCATTAATGGTGTTTTACTTTCAGGTTAGCGATGCAATGTTTGCATCAAGCACATCCAGGAATATTTCTTTAACAATTTTGTTGATGTTAATAGGAGGCTTTAGTTGTTTTAATAGAGGTGTATTTTGACAATGTTTAACTTGGTGAGGGCTTTGCTACAAATCAAGCTAGCAGGAAGGTCAGAGAAATTCCTGAAACACACCTCAAATACTCAGTCACAGAAAATAGGAGTAATGTGTGACTTGACAGAGATTGTCAATTTAAAAATCACACCCGGTTTGGGTTTTTTTTTTTTAATTTCCACGGTTTTCAGTAAAACCTAGGCTTGCTGTAACTGAGATTAATAATGTTTGTTTTGCATGTTTTTACTGAAGTAGTTTGATCTGTGTTGAGAAAAGCACAGGATCAGGTACTTAATATTCTCCTGTTACATTTTAATGTTTAAAATGTTTAAAACATTTTATGCAATGTTTTCAGGTTTGCTGACAAAAAAGTTAAAAAAGCTGGAGTAGAAAATAACTTTATAACAATTAAAATGTCTTAGAGGAAGGGAAGGTGACTCCGTTTTAATAACACAATTATGTTAGTCAGTCTCTCTCATGTGTGCGTACTCGCATGCACCAAGACACCCAGTATGTGTCCAAACCAATTTATCCAGCATGTAGAGTTCCATTCTGTGCCACCTCCATCCTTCATCTCCTAATGTGCGTGTCCTGTGAAACTGCACATAGAAATGTTCCAGGATCCTGGTGAACAGCTAATCTGACTTCCACAAACACGCCGTTCTACCGGCCCCCGCGTCGCCCTTGTTCTTTCTGGTGCTTCTACACCTGTGTGTACCCATTCCTCCTCCAGTCCTATCAGTCTTAGCACTTTATTACAATTAGCTGTTCTACGTGCTGCTGTGGTTGTTTAACAGGCAGTCCTGAAAGGAAAAATGTCATTGTGAGTATAAAAATATCTGGACGTGTCTTTAAGAAATATGTTAAAATGTAATTCTGTAAGACAAATCTCATTTTTTCAAATTAAATAACTAAATTTGTCAAAGTTCCTTTAGGTCCTCAGATCTCTGCTGTAGGGCTGGTGTAGCATGTGATGATCCAGAGTCAATTAGGCACTTGGAATTTTTTAATATTAATTGCACTATCAGTGCAGAGACCATGATCCCAGAAGTTGGTGTCTGCTGATGAACGGAGGTATCAAAGGCCGCCATGCAAATACGCAGTCACCACAGCTTTGGAAACCACCTAGAATAGAAAACAACTCACTGACTGAAGGGGGGAGGAATGTGCCTCAGTTTTTGGGGGGAAAAAAAGGAAAAGTGCATGAAGTTTAAATTTACATAGAACATTAGGGGTTGATTTTATTCAAATATGTAAGCCTTCTGTGTAAAGTAAGTAAACTGTCTCCTTAATTATGAAGACTGAAGGCAAAATGGAAGACTTTAGAACAGTAGGAGCTGCCAGGGATGCAGGAACCTCTGGTATGGTTTTGGATTAAATGCAAGACTGTAACTGGAAGACAGGTTGGGATTATGAAGACCTCTGCCAAGTGTGTGTTAGTAATAATATAGAAATACAGTAAGAAAGAGGAGACCTCAAGTTCCTAGAAGTGAAATGAGGAAGAATGAAATCCAAGTAGTTGGTTTGGGTTCTTTTTTTGGACATTATTCTTGTCTGGTGGCAGGCGCTGGAAAGCAGGAGAGCTGAGTAGCCGCAGGGAGTGTGTAATTGCCTTGAAGCAAACTACAATGTTTATTTTAATGAATTACTGATTCTAGGAGGGTGACACCAAGGAGAGCTGGGCAAATGGGGCAATGCTGGATCTGTCAAGTAATGGAGGTAACATTTCTGATTCAGGTATCAGGTAACACTACAGGGAAAGTGCTAAAAAAAACTATCCAGCCCTATGTTGTTCATAAATGGAAGTTGCTTCCACCCTGCCTCCTTGGACACCAAATTCAGCGGTTTATATGTCAGGGACTACAAAATGGTTACCAGAGATTTTAATTTAAAATACATTTGGTAAAATCAGCGTGATTGAAACCTGTTGGGATAATTGTACTAAAGGAATACAAAACTAGGTAGCTATTCGTGTTTAGGAAGGGTGAGCAGAAGAGAGAACTAGACTGTGATCCCTGCTTGTTATAAAGCTTTCAGTAGCTTTGAATCATGGGTTATCAGGCAAATGGGATTCATTACGCAAATGGTGAAGTGTAGATTTTGGATCCAGTGCAGTTCCATTAGAAACCATTGGAGCAAATGGGATGTGTTCAGTACCCTCATAAGTATATGTCTAAAGGTATTTTGAGGATTTTGTTTGGGAGGTCTTACACAGAGAGTTCTGACATGAAGGGTGCTATCTCTTGTACCTTGATATTTTAATTTTGGATGGTCTTTGTCTGATGGGGTATGGTTATGATACAGGCATGAATTGCAAGATTGGAAGTTTTTAATAGACTAAGTGACCCCATGACCATGATGGGTTTAACATCAGCATGAGTAAATAGCATTCTAACTGCTAATAGATACACTTGAAGTTTCAGAAAGGTTTCACTAGGACTAACTTCCTAACAAGGTTTCTCCGGAGTCTTCTCTTCTCCAGGCTGAACAACGTACATGTTCACATTATTCTAGGTTGTTTAGTCAGTCGCATTTCATAACAAATACGAAGGGATGAAGGGAAGTCACTTCACAAATAGTGTGTATAAAATATTGATAATAAAAGCAAAACTAGAGGGGTGGATGACTGTAGAAAGGAGGAGAGACTGAAAACAGGAACCAGTCAGTCCTCAGTAATTAAAGGCGAGGTATGTCAAGAAATGTTGATTTTGGGAAAGGTGCTTTTTTGGAGGTTGTTTTTTGTCAAATAAGTCACAGCTAGGCATCCAGTGTCTGTTAAGTCTCAAAAGTATGAAGGCAATGCCACAGTTTTTTTGAAAGCATGAGAACCCATGTTCTACCTTGCCATATGGCTTTGGAGACCCACGTGGACAGGTGGTAGTAAAAGCCTCTGTTCTGAGCAGCCTGTTAAGTGCAAACAAAGATTGGGGTGCTCTGATTGTTTGGTGAACTCTGCAGTTCTCCCTGATGTTCTCTGCCCTGTGCTGGTTGGTGACTTCCTCAAATTCCATCTCCTGTTTCTGTTCATGTCTTTACCCTGTCAGCTCTTTTTTGTACCCTGCTGCACATCACTTAGCCCCCTTGCCTTTCTCTTTAATGTCTCCTAAATAACCTTTTCCAAAAAGGCAGCAAAGCCATGAAGCACAATGCTCACTATGCTCCTTGCTGTCGCTGTGTTTGCTCTGCCTATGTGTTTCAAGCATAATGAATTTAAATAAAACATTATGAGGATAATAACTCCTCCAGCTGGTGAGCCTGGAGTTCTTCTCCAGGTCTAGGGGGTTAAATTAGTGTTTCCTTGACCTGGTAATGTTAACTTTTAGTAGTCCTAGAAGGAAAAAAGTGTTGATCTGTACCAACATTTATAACAGCCAAAGCCTGTTAAATTATATGGCAGTTAACCTAACATCCATTATTGTAATGGAGTAATTCATACAATATTTATCCATTAGCAAATTAAAAGCTAGAGGTATAATAAGTGGCGATTGACAAGGTTTTATGGAAAATATCACCATTCAAACAAACCTGATAATTTGTTGGTGAAAGAAGCTGTGTGAATGTATTGTTAAAGCACTCATTAAATAGAGGAATTGGGTAATTGGTAAGCAGCAATGAATCCATATGTCTCTCCTCGGATTTCCAGGGGATTTCTATCCTATGTTTCTCTGTGGCAGTGTTGTGCTCTATTGCTAGCCTAAAATAGCAGTCTGATGTTTAAATATGTGATGTTAATTGTTGTGAGTTGTCATGTAATTTCATCTCTGGCACTCTCATAAGAAGTTTTATCAGTCTAGGTGAATTCACTGTATCACAGTATCACAGATAAGTGCTAGGTGCTTATAAACTCTGATTTTACAAGTTAAAATAAATTTTAAAAAGAGACTGCAGAGTTAGATGAAAATAGTGGAAGAGTAGACTTGAAGGCCTTACTTAGCAGAACTCTGGGGCTTATGTCTCACCTTTCACGTCTCAAACCCTCTTTGTTTCTGTTTGCATAGGCTCATAGAAGTGTTGGATATTAGGGACCTCTGAAGGTCATCTACTCCTAGCTCCCACTTGAAGCATCCCCAGTGCTAGATCAGTCAAGGTTTTAGGTGACCCTTGGAAACCTCCAGGGAGATGCCACCCTGCAGTCTCCCTTCCCCTCCATACATGAGTGACATGGTTTAGTGATGGTTTTTATCAGAATTAGGTTGATGGTTGGACTAGATTATTTTAAAGGTCCCTTTCAACCTAGACAATTCTGTGATTCTATATTGCATAGGATCTGCGCAATCAAACCAAGGCCGTGCAAGATGACAGGAATAAGGAAAAGTGATGATGAATGGCAAGTATGACTTCAGTGAGCGGTGAAAAAAATAAGCAAAAGAGAAGGTTTGAAAACCCGGATCTTGAAAGACAGACTTCAAGTCGTGTGCTACTGTTAGTGTCACTGAGGAATGCCTCCCTGAATGGGTCTGCTTTTAAGACCAGCAGCTATTTCTCCTAAGTTTCAGCAGCAGCAAAGTCCTGGGAAGGCTAGTGCTTGTTAAGTTGTAGCAAGAAGAGTTTTTGTGCAAGCAGAAGAGTCATGTGTCTCTGGTATTTCTATTCTATCAGTTAAACCCCAAAAGTAATCCTAACTTTGTGTTGAAAGTGTCAGAACCTAAGGCTGCTTGCTTTGTGTGAAGGTGTTTGTGGTATAGAGCTGGTAATAGAGCAGATCAGAATATTTATTATGAGAAACTCATTCATGCTCTCTCACAAGTACCTCCGTTATTTTGGGAAGTAGCTAGAGGAATTAATTGCAGCCTTACTTGAACAGCTTTCTTATTGGTTTGGTATCTCCTGGATTTGTACAGATTTGATTCAGAAGTAAGTTCTTCAGAGTGCTTATGATTAATTTACTTTAATCATGTTTCTCTTAGTTAACTGAGGTGACATAAGAGCTGTGGTCTGTAGGGTTCTTATTGCTGGAAGGAACTATTTCTTGATTTTCAGGCTTAAGGTTTTGACAGTATCCAGACTCTCACCTGAAAGTGCGTTTATTTTCCACTTAAAATGTGTTTTTTACAGGTTCTTGAAAGTTTGTGGCTCTGAACTAGTACGTCTTGAGTTGTCTTGTGGCCATTTCCTCAACGAAACGTGCTTGGAGGTCATTACTGAAATGTGTCCAAATCTTCAGGAATTAAATCTGTCATCTTGTGATAAAATACCACCTCAGGCTTTCAACCACATAGCCAAAGTGGGCAGCCTAAAGCGTCTCATTCTCTACCGAACAAAAGTGGAGGTAGGAACAAATCTTTTTAATCTTTGCAATAAATACTTTCAATCCCGGTAATGTTGCATTTTTTTTTTTCATTAATGAAGAAGTGAATTAAAATGTTGCATGCAAACTCAGAAAACTCAAAGGTAGTAACTCAAAGGTAGTTTCAAAAATCATAGGGTTTTTTATTATTATTTTCAAAATAGCTTCTGGATTTAACAAAAACTAAATAAAAAGCCTACATAATAAGCCTAAAATAAAAAACTTAACTTGCATGGAAGATTGGTGACTTTCCACCAGCTGTTTTAAGCAATGTAGTGAAATCACAAATGTGGAAGCTTCTCTTGTGCTGAGGTGTACTCCAGACAGACTGTATTTGGGAATATAATTGGGAAATTGTCCTGTTTAGTAACTTACTGTAATTCTCAATATTCTAGCCTTTAGAATGACTTACTAATTACTAGATCCCCGCTGTTTTTGTATATTAGCAGTAATTGAGATGCAAATTTTAAAAAATACTTTTCATTTACAGTGTAGAAATGATTTCTTCCTACAGTTATTCAACTGCCCAAAACAAGGTTATTGTTTGCTGCAATGTATTTGCCATCTAAGATGGAATGGTTTTACATGTTGCAGTTGTGAAGGCTGTTGTAGTTTACTGCATTGTACAAATGTTGTATCCTAGAGAGTTCAGCAATTCCAATCAGAAGCACTTCCATCCCTTCTCCCTAACCACACTATCGTGTGTTACAACCTGACTACTCTGTTTGACGTGGGACCTCTCGTAGCTGTGCTTCTCTTGTTGCAAAAGCTACTGCTTAGTAGAGCTCCAAAATGGTGTGGGGGGGAATATCTCTGCAGTTATTTTTCTAGCTCTTAGTTCTAGAAACTTTTCTAGCTTTTAGTTCTTAAACATTTTAAGAAGGGTTTGCTTTTGTGTGTTTTTTCTGCTTGTGCTTTTGGTGCACAGAAGTGATGTTATGACACTGGATTGTGTGGGGTGTTACCTGCAGTGGAATAGAAGACCTGAAGCTGGAAGAGTAGGTTCTGTCTAGTAGATGTCTAAGGGGCAAACAAGGAAAAAAAAAAATCTAAAAAAACCTGTCTTGCATCACTACACTTCTCTCCATTAAATGAAGCTCATCTTTCCAGAGTTTTAAGTTCATTATTAAAGATTTCATTCTTAAAGGTTCTTCAATTCTGTATATGCTTGAAATAATCTCTAATGTGCTTTGAGAAACTAATCCAAACATTTTATAAATGTAATTTCTGCTAGCTCAAGACTGCTATTATACTTGTTGGATTTTTGTGCTGGTGGTTTTGGTATTTGCTGTTACACAACTCCTTAATGTTTATTCACTGAGAGTGTATTCACAGCATAATTTAAGCACTTGTGGCATTGATAAATTTAAAGAATACAATGAACAATGAAGGTATTATTGTATACAGTAATTGGTAATGCACATCTTTGGGGTTTGAGTATGAATATTATCTTGATTTAATGCTTATTATGAAGTATTCTATCTGCATAAACAATGCAGCCAAAATTGTATTTTAAAGAAACCAAAGCCACAATTACAGTAGAACTTGACAGTCTCCTTATTCCTGAGTGTAAATTTTAATGTAGGATAACACATTTCATGTTGCATGATACTTGGATTCCGTATAATATGTGAAGAAAAATATTTTTTTTAAGTTTGTGTTACAATTATAATTAAAATGCAAAATGAACTAAATTTAAATCAAATTACAATGGAGAAAGTACTTTGTTTTGCACACACTTTCACACATGTGTTATATTTATAAATATATATCTGATGCCTTTGACCAAGAGTGAATCTGAAACTTTAGCAGTTCTAAGAGAGGACACTGGAAATTTTAGATACCAAGAAGAGATAAGAATCTTTGTGGTGAAAGTAACAACTCTTATTTTCTTGCCAAGAGCAATGAAAGAGTTAATGCTGCCATAAAATCATTCTACAGGATTCAGAAATGACCTGTTGTGGATTGTTATACTCCTGAGAGCTATCGTCTGAGGTTTTTCAGCTTGGACGGAACTTTGTTGGCTCAGGCACAAATCTTAAGGATTAACTTGCAAGAAAGTAGTGGAAAAAATGTGAAAGCCTCTAGCTAGAAAATGTGAGGTGGAGTCTGACAAATAATCCTGTGATACAGGGCCTTGGTGGTGCCTTCTGGTCCCTCGTCAGGCTCATGGGGCTGAACTTGGTCATTTGAGCCCATAATGTGAAAAGTTAGGGGGAAGAATGAAGGCATAAAACGGATTTGCAGACATAAGGGAGGGCATAATTTCACCAAATGAAGCAAAACCAAAATGCAGTAATTGAATTAACTACAGAGACTATTACTTTCATTGAATTAATTCAGTAATTGCCGTGTTGCTGTGTCCTGGTCCCTGCTGTGTCCCTGGCACTGTCAAGTAGCTGTAAGAGAACAAGAAAGTGTCCCTGTATGTCCTGAATTGAATGTCCTGAAAGCTTGCAAATCACACTGTGCTGATTTGTGAGGAGGCAAGTGTTTTGACTTTGTTCTGCACTCAATAATAAAGTTCATTCCATTTTCATTTCCATACACTCTCTTTCTATCTTACCTGATGCTCATACGGTGTTCATATTGTATCTATTTCTAAACCTCCATCATAAAGTTTTGGAAGCAAAAGTTTTACCTCTGTCCAGTTCTTCATCTCAAAATGATCCAATAGCCCATGAGCTTTGTTCTCCTGACGTGTGACCAGTGCCCAGATGAGACACACTGTTTCTGCGTGCCACATTTTTCCTATCAGTAAAATTTGCATAATAGTAACTTCCTCATTTTGTAGCTGTGGCATGAGGATAAATGCACTAGGACACTTGGAGGTTCTTTGATATATATATATATATATATATATATATATATATATGGTACTATATAGGTTACTCTACATAGGGGTGTATATAATTACTTGAAATACTGTCATGTGATAATGTGCTTTTCTAAATTGCAGGAAGTTCTGTTAGTTTCAAAGCTCAGCCTTTTTCCTCTGGAAAAACTGAGAAAAGTATTGCTGGAGAAAGCTTGCTTGAGAGGTGGAAGCATTTCTGTGAACTGAACAATTGCAGACTTTCAGTGGTTATCTCTGTCTGGGACTACATGGGTATCTTGTGCTTCCTAAAGGCCACAAAATCTGTCTTGTAAAGGATGAGGTGACCTCTTCTGTTTGCTTCGTCATGCCATGGCACAAGTTAGCTCAGGGAACTGAAGGACTTCAGCAGAAAACAAATCTGGCCACCATTTAGCTGTAATTTGGCATATGATTCCCTGCCATTTTCAGCTTGTAGCACGAATAACCGAAAGCTTAACACACAGAAAAGTGAAAACAGATGAAACCAAAATAAGGTGAACAAATCGAATAGCTTTGCAGACCTCTAGATCCAATTTAGGTTTCCAGAAACAGTATATATTTCGTTATTGAATGTTTGTGTACTGTCCCAAGATGTGTTCATTCTGTCAAAACTAAAATACCAAGCATATGTATTATTGATCTGTAGAGCTCAAAATCTTAGAAGTAGTCTGAAAATGAATGCTTTCTGGGAGGCCAGCAGTTATGAAAACTTGTCCTGAAAACTAAAGCTAGCCCTGGATAAGTATCTAAAATTCATTTTGTGTTCTTTTTTACACTGGTTAAACCAATGACTTTTGACTTTATAAGCACATGTATCATCTCATCTCTCTAAACCTCTCAAGTTGCCTCCTATAACAAAGTTCTTTCAAAGTAGCACAGCACCAAGTGCCTAACTTCAAAATTACCTTGATGCCTTAAAATACTGTTTGGGGAGGGGAGGCAGGAGACAAAAATCAAAAGATGATCAGAAGCATATTTTACAGTTTCATTACTAGAGAAGGTTTAGATGAGAATTGTATTTCACCATTCCTATACCTTTTGTTTCTACATTATTAACATACTACATTCTTCTTTCTGTGAGAAGAATTACTTTTTGAAGCTATTGTAGGTTGAATGCAGGTTGCTGTTAGATGGAAGGGTACAATACCTTGAAATACACAAAGTAGATTTTTATGCCTTTTTATATGCAATATTGATTTGCCCTGTTGTACCTTTCAAAACAAATGGTTTAATAGAAGTTTACAGAATCCTGGCTTTTCATCTGATGAGTTTTTTGATTGCTGTATTAAAATAGCAAATGCCAACTAATTTCCGACATAGTTCTTTCATAGACTGTGCCAAAAAAAACCCCCACACCCCAAAAGTTGATTTTTGGCTTTCTTCTTGTGCTGTATAATGCCAAAGGGTGGGGGGAAGTATTCTGAATTTACATAGATTTTTAATTACTTTTGACAATCTTAACAAGATTAGCTTTTACATTTGCATGAAGTGTTTGTAATTACAAATATTTATAGCAATAGCGGCACTCAGAATGAAATAAAATTGTGTGCTTTTATCTGGGCTTTCTTCTTGGTTGGTTGGCTTTTTTTACCACAGGTAGTTCTAGGACGGTAAGACTTTTTGGTGCAGTGCCTATGAAGTAGAACTTCACTGGCTTAAGATAAAGACTGTGATGGATTATAATTGTAGTTTGTCAAATAGTTGATGGAAAACACCAACATCAGTGTTTCTGCGGTATTTTTGCTACTAGACACCAAAATTGGAGGGAAGAACTTTGTTGCTGTGTTATTGGCAGGGAGGATAGTTTGGGGTTGTTTTTTTTTTTAATTACTTTTCAAGGAATCTTACTGGAACCTCCTTTTATGTGGTTTTACACATGGAAAACAATTGCCATTCCGAAGATACCTTACTCATATCTAGCAATAGCTGTAGTCTTAAAAAAAATGAATCCAATCATATGTTGTCATCAAGATTCCTTATCTCCACTTCATGCAGAAACACATAGCAGTTGCCATTCACTAAGGTATTTCTGGAAGGCCTAAAGCTGAATTAACATTTAGTTAAGTGTTTCAACTGGAAATGATAAGAAAAAAGAATGCAACTTTCATTGTCCTCTATATAATGC